CCATCCAGCCACTCCACGGGAGAAAGACCTAGCAATCTGTTTCCATAAAGATCATAGCCTAGAAAACCCTATGGGGCAGTTCTTCCCCATCACATGGGGTCATTATGAGTTGGAATCAACTCGCTGGCACCCAACAGCAATTCCTTCCTCACCTGACAGTCAAAGTGATCTTTTCAAAACATAAATCTGATAATGCCACTTCCCTGCTTTAAGACCTTCCATGGCTTATGATGAAGACCACTTGGCCTGCAAACCATGGCATGATTTGGCTCTAGTCACCCTTGCCAACCCTATCAAGTGCCCCATACTGTTTGGACTTTGCTTGCCAGGTATTTTGGCTTTCCTGCCACAGGGCCTTTGAGTATGCTGTTTCTTCTGTCTAGTCCAGGTTTTTTCAACCTCAGCACTACTGACATTTTGGGTTGCATAATTCTTTGTTGTGGGGGCTATCCTGTGCATTGTAGAGTGTTCAGCAGCATCTCCAGCCTCTACCCACAAGATGCCACTCTCAGCTGTGACAACCAAAACTATCTCCAGACATTGCCAAAGTGTTCCATTGGTGGCAAAGTCTCCCCTGGTTGAGAATCACTGGCCTAGCTACAGTGATCTTTTTTCTCTTTACCAAATCTCAGTTCCGAAGTCACTTCCTCAGGGAAGCCTTTCCTGACTCTTGACAGTTATTAATTCTAAATTATTGTCTCTCACTGGACTGTCAGCTTCATGAGGGCAAGAGACCATGTCCACGTCCACTCACATTGTATTTTCAGTACCTAGGAGACATTGTTGTTGTTCGTTGTCATCGAGTTGGCTCTGACTCATGGTGACCCAAACACTGCCTGGTCCTATACCATCTTCACAATCATTGGTATGCTCAAGTTCATTGTTGCAGTCACCGTGTCTTTTGAATACCTTCCAACCTGGGGGGGCTTATCTTCCAGAATTAAATTACACAATATTACATTGTGTTCCATAGAATTTTCATTGGCAAATTTTTGGCAGTAGATCACAAGGCCTTTCTTCCTACTCTATCTTAGTTTGGAAACACCACTGAAACCTGTCCACTACGGGCGACTTTGCTGGTATTTGAAATACCAGCAGCATAGTTTCTAGCATCACAACAACATGTAAACCACCACAGTGCAACAAACTGACAGACAGGGTGGTAGTCTGGCACATAAAAAAAACCAAACCCGTTGCTGTCAAGTCAATTCTGACTCATAGAGACCCTACAGGACAGAGTAGAACTGCCCCATGGGGTTTCCAAGGAGCAGCTGGTGGATTCAAACCGCTGTAGCTCTTAACCACTGTCCCACTAGGGCTCCATCTGGTACTAGTAGAATTTAGTATTTGTTGAATGAGTAAGGGAATAAATTTAAAGCTAGATTAAGTCTGCTCCAAAACATCAAATCTATCATTTATTTAGAGTCTACTGGGCCAAGAAGTTTACTTATCTCATTACTATGAGGGCGGTCTTATTATTCCCATTTTACAGGTGAAAAATTAGGCCTAAGCAATACTAAATAACTTGCTCATGATGTCACGGCTTTAAGTGAGAGAGTCAAGAACTAAATCTGAATTTCGTCACCCCAAAATCCAAGCTGGATGGATGTGAACACGGACATAGATATCCAAAGCTTTGGTGGTGGGGCTCTGTCTTTCAAAAACAAAACGAGGGGAAGAGACACAGACATGGAGACACAGAGCCATGTGAAAACAAAGGTAGAGATTAGAGGGATGAATCTACAAGTCAAGGAGTGCCCGGGGCTGCCAGAAGCTGGAAGAGTCAAGGGCGGATCCTCTCATAGAGCCTTCAGAGAGACCATGGCCCTGCTGACACCCTGAATTGGGACTTCCAGCCTTCAGAACTGTGAGAAAATAGATTTCTGTTGTTTTAAGGCACAGAGTTTGTGGTATTTGTTATGGCAGCCCAAGGAACCTGATACACCCATGCTTGTTTTGGTTTTCCAGATCCCAAACTGTGATAAGTAATAAAGACATTAAAATTTAAAAAGTAATCTCAAATAAGAGGGAAGTTGGGAGATAACCTTCCACTTCAGTCTTGTAGAGAAGGAAAGCCAAGAAATAAAGAGGGTTGCTGCCTTAAAATGGAAAAGAGGAAGAAAAGAGCCGTAGTGCTACACTTTGAAAATCTGCAGAGATAAAAGACTTCCTGAAATATCCATCAAATTAATGACTGTTTTCTCTGGAAAGAAAACAGCTGCAATGGAACTCCTGAGAGATAAAGCAGTGAACGTTAAGGGAATTAGTTCTGTAAGAAGGGATCCCAGATTTGTACATCTTGATTTGACAATAAAGTATCAGTAGAAAAAAATGAATCCTGAATGGCCTTTTACAAGAAATGTCATTTCTTCTTTACTCTAAAAAGACCAGCACAGTTTTAAAGAAAGAACTTGTTTTTAAAAAATCAACAAAGCATATAGTGCATCTATTATCTGCCAAGCTAAACACTACAGAAGCATAAACAAGACAGCTTCTGTCCATAAGAGACATATAAACTGTCACCGTTATTTTGGGGACCATTTAAGAAATGTTTGAAACACAGCAGTTTCTTTTTTTTGATGTATCTCAAACACTGTAAATTTGAGTTACAGATTTATAATTCTACACAGGTCTGCCCCTGTTATGACTGAATTGTGTCCCCCAAAAATATGTGTTATAAATCCTAATCTCTACGCCTGTGGTTACAATCCCATTTGGGAATGAGTTTTGTTATGCTAATGAGGCAAGATTAGTGTAGTGTGTACCTTGAGTCAATTTCTTTGGAGATATAAAAGAGATTAAACAAGCTGAGGAGAGATGGGGGAAGAGAGATGCCAAGCCACATCAAGATCACCCAGGAGCAGTTTGAAAGAGATAAGGATCTTTCCCCACAGATGACAGAGAGAAGGCCTTCCCCTAAAGCCAGGACCCTAAATGTGAACCTGTAGCCTCCTAAACTGTGAGAAAATATATGTTTATTAAAGCCACCCACTTGTGGTATTTTTGTCAAAGCAGCAATAGATAACTAAGACAGAATTTGGTAGCGGGAGTGGGATGTTGCTATAACAAATACCTAAAATGTGGAAGTGGCTTTGGAATTGGGTAATGGGTAGAGGCAGGAAGTGTTTTAAGGTACCTAATAGTAAATGCCTAGATTGCCTTAAGAGACTGTTGGTAGAATTATGGACATCAAAGGCAATTCTGGCGAGGGCTCTGAAGGAAGTGAGGAGAGCCATAGGGAAAGTCTCTATCGTCTTAGAGAATACATATGGCACCAGCAACAGAATGTTTCTAGAAATGTGGATGAAATGTGGACATTAAATGTGCTTCTGGTGAGGCTTTAAAAGAAAATGATGAATATGTGATTGGACAATGGAGGAAGGGTGATGCTTTTTATACAGTGGCAAAGAATTTGTCTGAATTATGTTCAAATGTTTATTGGAAGGTAGAATTTGTAAGCTATAAACTTGGATATCTGGCTGATGAGATTTCTAAGCAAGATCTTAAAGGGACCACGTGGTTTCTCCTTGCCACTTACAGTAAAATGTGAGATGAAAGAGATGGACTTAAAATGAACTGTGCAAAATGACAACAGAACTTAAAGATTTGGAAAATTCTGTTGTGCAAACTAAGGACACGTGTCCTAGAATGTTCACCAAGGATGTGGCTACACAATCTTTAGTTAAAGAGCTTAAGCCTGTGACTGATGGATCTCATCAACGACCACAGCAGAAAACCCATCAGCTTAGACTGAAGGGGACAGAGAAAGAATGAAAGGAAAGAAAGCTGTCTGCCTCTTGGAATTCTATAGGTAGAAAACAGGCCAAAGGAGCTACATCTGTTGTCCTCTAAGAAAAGAAAAGAACCATCCCTGGAGCAGCTTGAAGATCAGGTAGAACTGTTAGAAGGAACATGGGAAGCAGGGCCTTTTCAAAGGGTGGGGCCACGGTCTCCTGGATCTCAAAGGGTGGGGCCACAGCCTCCCAGGTTTCAAAGAGTTGGACCTTTGCCAACTTGGTTCCAGACTGTGGGGGTGCCATTAAGGTGTGCCAGGGGAATGGGGCTGCCACTCAAAGCTGAGGGGGCAGGGCTGCCATGCCAAAGGGGCAGAAGAATGGGGCCTACTGCAGCAGAGGGGGTGGGATCACCACTCAGACGTATTCGGAGAATGGGGCTGCCCAATGCTGAGGGAGCAGAGTTGCCGTCCCAGTGGGCCTGGAAGGCAGAGCTGAAGCCCAGGCTGAGGGACCTCCACCCAGAATCCAGAGGGCGCGGCCAACACCCAGAGTCCAGAGGGTGGGGCCATTGCCCAGATGGTCCCAAAGAATAGAGAATTATTTTCAAGCCTTGCAAACTAATGTACATTGTTCTGCTGGGTTTTAGACTTGCTTGGTGCCCGTCATCCCTTCTTTCCTTCCAATTTCTCTAATTTGTAATGAAGTGTCTACCTCATGCCTGTTCTACCACTGTACTTTGGAAACAGATAACTTGCAATCTAGATTTCATAGGTTCACAGATGAAGAGGAATTTTGCTCCAGGATGGAATACGCCTAATGTCTCACCCACATTTGATTTAGATGATTCAGAAAATGAGATTTTGGACTTGGAGTGGATGTAAGACTTTGGGGATGATGTAATAGGGTGAATGTGTTTTGCATGTGGAAAGGACATGAATTTAAGGGGGCCAAAGGGTAGAATGTTATGGATTGAATTGTGTCCCCCCAAAATATGTGTTATAGATCCTAACCTCTAGATAATTAAGACAGCCCCTAAAAAGGTGAGAGCAGAATTCACAAATTCACCTTAAGAGGGTCTATTCACCCCTTTCTCTGAACTGGGATAACTTTAAGTGCAATTCTATTAATGGTTCCTAAAAGCAAATAGAAGGCACATACTAGAAAAGATGAACTGGTCACTTTGATTTCATTTTAACAGAAAGCAGGACACAAAGTTCGCAGACTTCAAAATCATCTATTAAGAAGGCAATCCGACATTTTCATACCAGTTTTGTGTGATAATTTTACTGCATAAGAAATTACAGAGATTGCATAAACCATCAGGTCAACAGCATATATGGAAGGACAAAACAAAACCAAAAAACATGATTAGCAATGTCCAAATAAAACAAGAAAATAATCCAATTCTTAAAAATACCACAAACTCCCCAAATGTGGCACCTTTTGAGAGGAATTTCACTTCTTGCATTTTGTGGATACACAGTAATTTCTGCAGTCCCTTTAAGCAAAATGGAAAATTGCTTTAAGGTTGAAAACATTAAAAACCAACTCCCACAGATGTGTAGCCCTCTTAATGCTGGACGTAACAAAAACTAAGACGTCATGCTTCCTGCTTCTGCCGAAAGCAGGGCTTGAACTTGTTACCAGCAGTGACAGTTTATGTAGAACACAATATCATTTCCCATATACCGAAACTGCACAAGCTGGCGAATCCAAAAAATATTGCAGGAGTCAATTTCTTCCTAAAAAGTATATAGATATTCTAGGTGTTGAAATTTTCATTCTTCATCCAATTATTTGCTCTGTTCAAAACATAAAAATACAAATAAATATTTCCTTACAAACGAAGCTCCTAGTATATTGTTTTAAAAAAGGAATTAGAACAAAATCTTAATTTATTCTTTCCCGTCTTTAAATAAAAATTCTAATATACAGACACATTTGACATCTATATAAATTGTCAGAGTCAGTTTGCCATTTCTTGTTACAATAAGTGCCAGTCTATATGCTACAATACTCACATCCCAAATGCAGGTTGCATTTCACTAAAAGCCGCTCAAAATAAATTTTTCTCTTTTTCTTTTTAATTAAAAAAGACTTCATTCCAGGAGTTTCAGAATTTACACTCGAGTTGTCTGAAAAAATACAATTTCAGTGCAAAAACCACATCAAGCATTCAAGAGTATACTGCTGGTGCTATAATCTTTTTGCATGTTCTTTTTCTTTTCATAGGAAAAAAAAAAACCAGAATAAAATAAGCAACACCGCATCTAGGCCTTTTAAATGGTTAAATGTAACCAGATAATATTAATGATATGCCTCATGCACGCGCACGCACAGATTAAAAAAAAAAACCAAGGAAAAAGGATCAGACGTCTTTCTTTTGCAATTGCTCTAGCTTTCTTCTTAGAAGGCCGTAATTCTCCTTAGTTCCTGGTGCAGTGGGGTCAAGTTGCAGAGAGATTTCATAGTGTTTTTTGGCTAAGTCTAGATGTCCCCAACGATGGTAAAGCACAGCTGAAACAGCAAGGGATGAATTTCATTGGAAATGCTTTTGAATAACTTGCAGCATTCCCGATCACTTATACAAAGAAATATGACAGAACCTTTGCAAACAGTTTTCAAAAATCATTGTTTAAGAAAATATTGTTTGTACCACAAACTTTATTTATTGTAATCACATTCCCTGGTGACTGGCCTTTCTAACCACTGCCAGTTACTCCTGGGGTTCTTCATATCACTAGACAGGATACATCTGCCTGCAGTAAAATTATTACATAAAGAAGTAAAAAGAATTGTACATTCCGTTTCTCCACGCTGCCATTCGATTTCCAGGAAGCCCACCCAGACATGGCTGGCCTCCAGATACTGCCTAAAGCCCTGGCTACGTGAAGGTCCAACATGTTTATTTAAATAAAGATTTCTCTACAGCTTTTGGAGCCCCGGTGGCACAGCGGTTCAAAGTTTGGCTGCTAACCAAAAGGGTGGCAGTTCGAATCCACCAGTCGCTCTTTGGAAACCCTACGGGGGCAGTTCTACTCTGTCCTACAGGGTCGCTATGAGCTAGAATTGACTCAACGGCAACAGGTTTGGTTTTTTTTTGGTTCTATACCTTTTGGCAAAGTAATCACTTGTTTGCTGCCAGCTGGAAATGAGGGCTCTAACATCAAGACCTGGTCATAAAATGATAGTGAAGATAAATCTAATTATTAGGATTATAGACCTCTGACTGCTACGGTGCTTCTATAAGGAAAACTAACTTTCTACAAGGGCAAAACAGCAACAATTGATGCTGCACGGCTTGTGATGAGAAGCGACAGTGTCCAGAGGGATCACATCTGGTGGAAAAATATTCTCATGACTGACGATTCTAAAAATCAACATGTTATGCTCTAAAAATCTTAAATTTTAAGATGTAAAAATGGAAGAAAGGAATTCTCGGGAGTAAGTAATCATAACTGCATCTTTAGCTAAAGCACAAGAGTTGGTAAGAGAGCAGAGAGGTCCAGGCTCGGCTGGGAAGGCCCATTATGGAAGAAGGAAGGCGAGAAAGGGAAGCAAGACTACAAACTTCCTACGTACTTTCCAGCTTAGCATTCTAGGATCCTTTATACAGAGAATGAAAATCCTAGTTTTAATCATAAGGTGAGCAAATGAGTGAGGAATTTTGGGATTGTTCTAGTCATGCAATAATATTTGTAAACAGGAGTATATTTTTATTGGGATAATTTTTTTTAAAAATGTATTTTTAAACCAGATTACAGAGAACAATACAGGCTAGATTTTGAAAAAAAAAAAAAAAATCACTCTCCCAACAGTGATTTTACAGGAATGCATGCATTTCCTTAGAAGTACATAGAACTTCAGTATGATTCAAAATGAAAAGTTTTCTTACCCAGATTACCATGGTAACTTGCAGCATTTGGATTAGCTTTAATTGCCTTGAGGAATAAAGCTTCAGACTCCTAAAAAGTGAAATACATAAAAAATCAAGTATTGTACATGATACAACATGGCTCAGTTTTGTGGCCTCCGTTTTCACTTCCAGTGTTCTCCTTTGTTCTGGAGTCCCTGGGCGGCACTAAGTTTTTCACTCAACAACTAGCTGAAAGGTTGGTGGTTCGAACCCACCCAGAGACACCTCTGAAGAGAGACCTGTCGATCTGTTTACGAAAGGTCACGGCCTCGAAAGCCCTAAGGAACACATTCCTACTCTGACACACATGGGGTTGCCTCCAGTCAGAACTGACTGGACACCAACCAGTTTGGTTTTATTCTTCTTCCAGAAACACTCAAGGGGCCCAGCAGGACCGTGCACTGTTGAGAAGAGGCTCCGAAGGGCTAGCAGGGAGGCAGGCGACAGGACAAAGATGACAGAGGGCAGTCACAAGAATACAACAGCCAACAGAAAGCAATGAGGACATCAGAGAGAGGACGAATATGCTAATGAGCGCCACCACCTGCTTCCCTGAAATGGTGGAAATTCTGAAACTTGCAGCAAGTAACTCTTGAGGACAGCATTGGTGGTTCAGTGGTAGAATGCCCGCCTTTCACGTGGGAGACCCGGGTTCAATTCCTGGCCAAATCACTTCATGTGCAGCCACCACCTGTCTGTTAGTGGAGACTTGTGTGTTGCTATGATGCTGAACAGGTTTTACGGAGCTTTCAGACTAAGACAGACTAGGAAGAAAGGCCTGGCAATCTACTTCTGAAAACCAGCCAATGGAAACTCTATGGACCACAATGGTCCGATCTGCAACCAATCATGGGGATGACACAGGGCCTGGCAGAGTTCTGATCTGTTGGGCATGGGGTCACTATGAGTTGAGGGCCGACTTGACAGCAGCCAACAACAAAGCAAGCTGCTCAGTTTAGGGTGCAGTGAAGGATGAGAGAAGGTCAAAAGAACAGGAAAGGGCTGGGTTGTTGAGGACATCCGTGAAAGCGTCATTTTCAGGGAGCATTAATGAGCCCATTTCCAAGACTTTTAAGATAGGAGTTAGGGGCCTATTTAATCTCCCCAAGAAACCACAACACCCCCGGCAAACCAGGAGCAGCCCATTCAGCTGGAAAGAACGAGCAGAGAGAACAAGGGAGAACCCGCCATCTGTCACCTATGCTGTCTACAGCACTGAATACAACCACAACCAAACTTCCCTGATGGACTCGAATTGATTCTCGTATAGACTTGCATTTCCTCCAAACAGTACTCGCTTCCTATCAGGCCGCTAAGAAGCAGGGCAAAGTGTTCTCTTACCGGATCTTCACTGAGCTCTTGCTAACTGGATGGCCTCTTTCTACCATAACGCAGAGAAATAAAGATGCCTGACCTTTCACATTGACACATGGGCAGTGATCCACTTCCTCTACGTTCATATTCCTAAGGTACCTTTTAAAGTGTCTCAGTTTCCTAGAACTGCTGTAACATAAATAGCACGAGTGGGTGGCTTTAAAGAAGAGACATTTATTTTCTCACAGTTCAGGAGGCTAGAAGTCTGAAGTCAGGACACTGGCTCTAGGGGAAGGAGCTCTCTGTCGGCCCTGCTGGAAGACCTTTATCTCAGCTTCTGTAACCTCACTGTTCCTCCGTGCCTTTGCAATCCTCACAGGTGCCTCTGTCTTCCCGTTTCTGCTGGCTTGTCTCTGTGCCTAATCTGCTCTTTTTAGATCTCAAAAGTGGTCAGGTTCAAGACACACCTTACACTGATCCGGCCTCACTGACCTAACAAAGAAAACCCTATTCCCATATGGGATCACATCCACAAGTATAAGGGTTAGGATTCCAACACATATTTTGGGGGGACACAATTTAATCCCTAACTTGGGATCCAGCTCTAAGCCTAAGCAACCACAGTGTGGATTCTGTGACAGTTGTTGCTCCTTCTATCTTCACCTGTGGGGGTTTTTCTAAGCTTTCTTCCCACACCTAGGATTAGACATTTCATAACCTGCAAGCAGACCAGCTTCCTGATAGCCTGGGGTACTCCAAAGAAATTGGCTGGGGATTTGGGCAAATATCTCTGGAAACACTATCTTTTAGACAGAGCTGGCAGGTAAAATATATATATATTTCAGAAATGAAATCCAAGAGGGAATGAATAAAGACACCAGGATAATATACAAGGTGTCAGCAAACATCAATTTCAGCACCCAGCTCGAAAGGACTGTGTAGACCTGTAGGGACTATTAAGTAGCTGTCCTGTTTCCGAGGATTTTCAAACATTTCCATTTAAAATCCGAAAAGGAAGACAAGGAAACCCCAATCTCTTTAAAAATGCTCCCTACATGTAAGAGGAAGACCCTCAACAAGAAGGACTGACACAGTGGCTTCAACAATGGGCTCAAGCATAACAACGATTGTGAGGATGGGACAGGACCGGGCAGTGTTTCCTTCTGTTGTAGGCAGGGTCGCTATGAGTCGGAAACGACTTGACGGCACCTCACAACAATAACAATGACGTGTAAGCTAAGTAGTGTTAACTGGAGACAACTGGTTTAGGGATAAAAGCAAGTTAGGAGTTTTCTAGGGGATACTAGGATTACTTATTTATACATCCAACTAATTTCTCAAATGCCCGTAAGTATGGGCTTTATTCAGGATAATGCGAAGTCAGAGAAGGGTTTGTAGGTGTTCAGGAGGCAGACAGAGGGAAAGGGCTCAAGGCTCATGCCTGGTTACGCGACGGCTGCTACTGGTAAGGCTGGGCCTGAAGCCTGGTAGTGTGATGAGGAGGACACGTGGGAAGAACCGGAGTGAGGAAGAACCAGCAGAAAGCAGTGGATGTGTGAGGTAACGGGGAGAAAAAACGAACCAAAGTGTCCCAGCTTGGAAGAAAGAAGAACAATCGCAGGGTGACAAAAGAAGGGGCTCAGGAGGTAGAGCTTGTTTGTGGGAGGAAGCTGTCGGGCGTGGGAGGGTGAGTGTGGGTTAGACACACTCCATCTCAGGTCACAGTGAGGCAGCCAGGACAGGCTGCCCCAGCGGGCCCCTGGGCCTGTGCCTGGGCCCTGGGAGGAAGGCTGGGCTGGAGGCCTCTTTAGAACGCAAATGTCGGCGGGTATTCAGAGCTCATGAAATGCTCTTCTATTAAATCAGGTTTTTAATGGCCCTGTTCAGGAAAGCAATGAACTGTTTATAAACCAATCTTCTGTGACAGGTGTTTGGATGCTTAAAGGCCCAGGAAATGTGCTGATTTATGGCAATGAACAAAAAAAATTAACATTTCAAATAGGGGATACTTTTTCATCAACAGAAAGAGAAAATGTTATTTTCTGAAATGTTTTAGACAACATGTTTTAGACCAAGGTTTAGGGCAATATCATGGGACAGGAAAAAAAAAACTTAAAGAAAACCCACCACCAACAAAAAACAAACCCATTGCCATCGAGCTGATTCCGACTCATAACAACCCAACAGGATAGAGCAGAACCGCTCCATGGGGTTTCCAAGGCTGTAACCTTTACGGAAGAGCAGACTGCCACATCTTTCTGCCATGGAGTTGCTGGTGGGTTCAAACTGCCAACCTTTTGGTTACCAGCTAAGCGCTTAACCACTGTGCCACCAGGGCTCCTATGGGACAGAGAAAGGCCTTGCAAATTGTGTCTTTAACTATGAACAATCGAGGGTCTTTGGGTCTGTGTGCAGAAGACGGGCAGGCAGCAGTTATTTCAGCCACGCTGGTCGGCAGCGGAAGAAACACCCACAGCGGCAGCAGCCTTGAACATTAAGTTAAGTTCTCTCTAACAGCGTTTCACAAGGGAATCTTGCATACCACTCGAATTACATTAGATAATTTAGGGGGTCTGATATGAAATTGGGTGTTGTAAATGCTCAGCTGCTAACCGAAAGGTTGGAGGTTCAAGTCCACCCAGAGGTGCCTCAGAGGAAAAGGCTGGCAATCTACCTCTGAAAAATCAGCCTTTGAAAACCCTGTGGAGCACAGTTCCACTCTGACACACATGGAGTTGCCATGAGTTGGGGTTGACTTGATGGCACCTGTTTGTTTCTGCTATGAAGTTGAAACAACGAATCCTATAGGAAGAAAGTTATTCCCTATTCAGTCTTCTTTCCTTTCTTCTGATTCAGCGGGGGCCAAAGTTTCCTTTTTGTGGTAGTCTGTAGGTCACACCCTCTAACGCTTCCAATCTCCTTTTCAGCCTAAGAGAGTGCGGCCTTTAGGCCTTGGCCACCAATGGCATCTAGCTGGGATTTCATGAATTATTTTATTTTCAGTTACCTCCTATTTATAGTAATGACATCATGTTTCCACTTTAAATGCCTTTATCTGAGGTAAAAATCTATTTAAAGAAAGATAGTAAGTAAATAATAAATCAGGTATTATCTAGACAGAAAAAAAAATGTGAAGTGGGACACAAATGTCTGGAGTTTGGGAAAAACTGAAAAAAAAACAAACCCATTGCCGTCGAGTCAATTCTGACTCATAGCGATCCTACAGGACAGAGTAGAATTGCCCCACAGGGTTTCCAAGGAGCAGCTGCGTGGATTCGAATTGCCAACCCTTTGGTTAGCAGCCATAGCTCTTCACCACTGTACCACTAGGGCTCCGGAGTTTGAGAAACTGCTAAGTATAAGCTGTTCTCAAACTACAGGGCCAGTGGAATTAGCAATAACGAAAGAGAAATCAGCACGAAAGGCGACATTTTAAGCACTAAAAAACTTCACCCCAAATGGAAAATTAAATGGTGAAGAAGTAATATAATTCCAATAGGTCTTAATGATCCTTAGGGTTTCCTTTAATGATCACTAAACTAAAATTATTATTTTAGGTCTATTTCGCATATTATCGTTGCAAATGACATTCATGTGCATCTTCTCCTATCACCGTCAGGGAGGTGGGCAAGGTCACCGTCTCGGTTTTGGAGATGAGTAAATTGAGGCCTGAGGTGGTTAAGTGACTGCTGCTCGGCAAAAAGGGCTGCTGGGGGCATGGGGAGGGGAAGAAATGTCCCACAGTTACCCAGTATAACGAGAACAAGGAGCCCTGATGGTGCACTGGTTAAGCACTTGGCTGCTAACCAAAAGGTTGCTGGTTTGAACCCTCCTCAGGGGAAAGATGTGGCTATCTGCTCCCATAAAGATTTCAGCCTAGGAAACCTATGGGGCAGTTCCACCCTGTCCTAGAGGGTCACTGTGAGTTGGAATCGACTCGACGGCATAGAACAACCGCAACGACAACATAATGAGAACGCTCACTCTGCACCACAAAGTCTCAAAACAGATTCTAGAAGCCTAAACACTTCAGAGCCGAACGTGAGTAGATGCATTCAACCATTTCACAACTACTGATCTGGCACTACTGGAGCCCTGGTGGCGCAGTGGTTAAGAGCTCGGCTGCTGACCAAAAGGTCAGCATTTCAAATCTACTAGCTGCTCCCTGGAAGCCTTACGGGGCAGTTCTACTCTGTCTTAATAGGGTTGCTATGAGTTGGAATCAACTTGCCAGCAATGGGTTTGGTTTTTGGTTTAATCTGGCACTTAATGAATGCCCATCAGCACTGGGATGACAATGGGAGATATAAAAATCGGGCTTAAGACTGGGCCCTGACCTCAAGAAGGCTACAGGTTTACCAAAAAGACTTATCAACAGTTAATATTAAAACAAACAACAACAAATGCTAATGTTAACATGGAACAGTAAGTGATGAGGTGAAAACTGAGCTGTACAGACGGCAGACACCTGTCACTGGCTGGCTGATCACTGAGCTGGAGGGTCCGTTCACCCTGGCCCTACAGTTCACCACCACAGTGCCCCCATTAAAGCAGACTCGTCTCCAGAGCATCCCACCCAACACTCATTTCACCTCATTCTGAAGCAAACGGCACCAGGGAGGTAACTAACTGATAGCAACAGATATCATTTGTGCATTACAAAAAAAAAAAGTTTAAAATTCCAAACCCTCAATTTGAAAAAATATATTAAATGAGTGCTCAGTGGCACGGGGAGTGAAATCAAGTTCCCTCTTCCGGGTGGCTCTTTCAGAGCGCACAGTGAGTTGGCTGATTTCAGTTTTCGTCCTCTGCTTCCTTATCTTGGGCTCAGTGCCCTGGCCTAGACAATTAGGATGCACACTGTGCAGTGAAATGGGAAACTGATCTCTCCATCCTGTTTTACAGTGTTTTCTACTTTATCTGAAAAAAAAAAAAAAAAAAAGAAGAAGAGCATGAACTGGAAGCCAAATGAACCTCAGGTTCTGTCACCTTAATAGAAATTCTAGTTTACAGACAGGGGGTTGATAGAAAAATCAATACAGTGATTATATAAGCTGCATTTTAAAGAAGCTCACTGTAGCTGCATCGCCAGAGAACTGATGCTCCCAAGCGAGCCCAGGCTGACACAGATGGTTGCACAGGTTCTGGAAGGAAACCCACAGACCTCGTCTCCTTCTCCACCTTACACGAATGGATCCACAGAAAATAAACCCTGACCTCTCAACAAGCCTTCTCTGGAGCAAAATCTAGAAATGTTAAAATGTCCAGTGAAGCTATTCAACCCCCTGGCACTCAAAAATGAGAGAAAGGCATCAAATATCTTATTCCTGTCACAGAAAATTATGCTGATAGACATCTCCTGAATAAAACAAGAGAAGCAAAAAGCACTGGACAAATACTAATTAACCACTAGCTTTAGGCCTAGTATTTTGTTGGTAGCCTCAAGATCAAAAGAAGAACACAGTCCCTGATTCTGATATAAACTACTTCTTTAAGGAAAGGGCTAAGGCACTGCTTCTAAAAGCGTTTTTCTGTAGCACTGCTGTCAAGACACCCAGGACGTTAAAAGTGCACATTCTTTGACCTTACTCAACCCACTGAGACACTATCTCTTGTTGAGGGGAGGGAGAGGATTTGTATTTTTAGTGGGGAAGGTATCTACGTTTTAACAAGCTCCCTTGGGGACTCTCATACATAAAATTAAAGTTTGCAAATCACTGGTATCAGAAACATTAGGTCCCCTTCAATATACAGGAGGCATCCCTGGGTGACATCAACAGCTAAGCACTTGGCTACTAATTGAAAAGTTGGCAGTTCAAAACCACTCAGAGAAACCTCGGAGGAAAGGCTTGGTGATCTACTTCTGAAAAATCAGCCACTGAAAACCCTATGGAGCACAGTTCTACTCTGACATACATGGGGGCACCATGAGTCGGAATCAACGGACACTGTGTGTGCGTTTTAATATACAGGGAGTTATGCACCTTCTGACTCCTGGTCTACCCCTGACAGATCCTAGGAGCCCAATTGAAGCACAGCTAGATTATCTCACTGTTTTCGCTGGTCAGAAAACTTTAGGGCCTCACATGTTACCTACACCTTACTCCAGATGAAAAACTTAGAAGCATAAGAGCCAGCCATACATTCCTCATGGGCTGGCTTATTTCCTTTGTGCAGAAAATGCCACTGAAAAATAAACCCAGAGCTCCAGCCCAGTCACAAGGAACAGAGTCAAACACCCCCGTGGCAGGATGGGTGCTGGGCATCTACTACGGTGAGCCCGTCACTGCCCCTCCTCCACTAGCCTCGTATGGAAGATGAGGCCAAATGCCCATGAGCTCTCTTTTTGTCACTGCCCTTCCCTTGGGCTTCTCTTCCCCTCCCCGTGTTTGGGTGATGGTGGTAAACTCTGATGAGAAAGGACATGGAATTTGAACCTGCAAATCTGTCTCCAGGAAGCAAACTGACTAAGCCATCCTTGGGATACTGCTACCACCGCTTTCGCCTAACTCCGAATTTAACTGGGCAGAGCTAACATTTACGGCTTCTGTCAGACGCTGGCATCAGCTGCAAGAAACAATGGGCTGCAGTTTACACACCTTGTATTTCTGGGATTTCCCCAGCACATTTGCCAACGAGAACATAAGAGAGTGGTCGTTAGGTATTAATTCCAGCGCCTCTCTGCCAACTGCTTCAGCTTGGGCTAAATTACCTGTGAGGACGAAGAAGAAAAATAAAAAAATACATTAACATTTTAGTTTCTCTGTACAATTAAAGGGGTTATGTGCATAATACATAATGATTATGAATAAACCACCTAAGAAAACCAATGTAGAAGCTGTAATGCACACATACACACACTCCCACATGTACACACACATACACGTGATCCTATCAGTGGCAAAATCACTGCAGTTCAGTATAACTGACAATATACAAATAGCTTTTGATTAAATTCTATAAAAACATATAAAAGTTTTTATTTTTCCCCAGATACCAGTTATACCTAAATTGGAGAAAACAAGTCTGCAAATAAAAAGGATCACAGTTTAACACTTCAATAACTGAATATTTCTCATATTGAAGTACAAATTCTATATTTTTATTAGAAATAAGTGTATACCCTTCCCCACACTGCTCCAATGGCCGAACCAAACCAAACCCGTTGCGGCTGAGCTGATTTCGACTCATAGCGACCCTATAGGACAGAGTAGAACTGCCCCATAGGGTTTCCAAGGAGCGGCTGGTGGATTTGAACTGCCAACCTTTTGGTTGGCAGCCGAGCTCTTAACCACTGCGCCATCAGGGCTCCCTCCAATGGCTTACTAGCTTTACATTCTGACAAATTAGAAATATCATTTCTAAAAGATGCTTCGACTTTGAAGACGAGGGGAGCAGAGTGACTCCTAACTGGGCTAAGAAGTGTTTCTGGGTGGCACAGATGGTTAAGCACTCAACTACTAACTGAAAGGCTGGCGGTTCGAACCCACCCCCAGGAGCCTCCAAAGAAAGGCCCGACAAGCTGCTTCCGAAAGGTCACAGCCTTGAAAACCCTACAGAGCACAGTTCTGCTCTGTAACACGAGGTCGCCATGAGTCAGAACTGACTCGATGGCAGCTGGTTTGGTTGGCTTATAGGCTAAGAGAGTAGATAACCAAGTCCATTAGCATAGCACCTCAAATCAGAACACATGGCTCTAAGTGCAGACTCCAGGGCGTCTCCTTTGAGCACAGACCATGAACTTTATCGAGCATCTTGCAACATCCATTTCATAAGCCCAGAAGCCATCTGTGCTTACTGCTGGATACCTTCCAGCATTCTAGGCGATGGGGATTGCCAGATAACAGGCTTTGGAAGAATGCGGTATTACTATACATCTTCCCCTAAACTTAATACCAATTCTAAGTGAAATGTCATCTTTCCAAACACTTACATTCCAACACGTGAAAGGAAACACCATGTTCTAGAAAATAGATTTTTGTAATACAAAATATTTAACCTTGCATTTATTTTTTTAAAATTCCAACACAAACTGGGGGGGAGGGGGGAGAACAATAATCTATCTTTCCTAATTATTTCAATGGCAGGATACTATGGAATAATTTCCTCTGACTTATTTAATTCACCTTTCCATACCTGTATTATCAAGGAGTATAATCATGTTGTTCCAAGCCAAACTGTGCTCTGGTTTCAGCACGGTAGCATTTCTCCATGCGTTCAGTGCATCCATATGGCGGTTTAGGTCCGCATACTGGAAATAAAGCACATATGTACACAGAGAATCAGTACTCCAATTTTTCTGCTTTCCCTCTTTAAGACATTATGACCAAAAACAAACAAAAAACACACCAACAACTTGTATTTATTGAACTTCTAATTTCTTTTTAAAATTATTTTATTGTGGTTATATATATACATACACACACACACACACACACACACACACACACCTGTTGCTGTCGAGTTGATTCCAACTCATAGAACTACCCCCCAGGGTTTCCAAGGAGCAGCTGGTGGATTTGAACTACCGACCTTTTGGTTAGCAGCTGTAGCTCTTAACCACTGCACCACCAGGAAGGGAGGGAGGGAGATAGATCGATAGATGATAGATAGATGAAAACATTTGCCAATCCAACATTTTTTACATGTACAATTCAGTGACATTGATTACATTCATCGTGTTGTGCAACCATCACGACTATCCTTTTCCAAATTATTCCATCACCATTAACAGAAGCTCAGCATCCTCTAAGCAATGACTTCTCTATTCCCCCTTCCTCCCACCCTTGGTAATCACTAATAAACTTTGGCCTCTATACATTTGTCTAGTCTAGATATTTCATATAAGTGGGGTCATACAGTATTTGTCTTTGTGTGACTGACTTATTTCACTCAGCACATAATGTTTTCCAGGTTCATCCATGTTGTGGCATGTATCAGGACTTCATTTTTCTTCATGGCTGAGAAATATTCCATTGTATGGGTGTACCATATTTGGGTTATTCATTCATCTGTTGATGGACATTTAGGTTGTTTCATGCTTTTAATTTCTTTATACTAACTCATTTAATCCTCAACAATGGGCTCACAATAGCAACGATTGTGAGGATGATGCAGGACTGGGCAGTGTTTCGTTCTGTTGTACACAGGGTCACTGTGAGTTGGAATGGACTCAAAGGCACCTCACAACAACAACAACAATCTTCAAAACAACAATTCCATTGAGGTAGATACTATTACCATCCCCATTTACAGATGGAGCAACTGAGTCATAAGCAGGTTAAGTAACTTGCCGAAAGTTACACATTTAGAAATGGTAGAGCATGGATTAGAACCAAGTAGTTTAGCTTTGGAGTTTGCAACCTCTTAACTATAACTTAGTATTTGGTGCCAAATCATATTTCGGACTACTGGAGAGAGATACCTAATCATTAGCCTTTTTCCAGAAAGACTTCATAGAGTCCTGATAAAGTATTGTTTAGAATAGTAAACATTTTATGTGATTAACAGTTATATGTATCAAATTCAACTTGTGAAGAATGATTCAAGCAGCCCTTCTGCCTACACCTAAACTTCATGTAAAAATATGAGTAGATGCTACCAGAAACACTCTGTAAACACCTGAGAAAAGTCTTAAGCAGTAATGTAAAGTCCCTTGGCAAATGGGGCCTGTTTACCCCATTTATGAAGGAGAGATTTTTTTTTTTTTTTGAGAGGGAATTTTGTTTTACATCAACAACAGCGCCAAATGGCTGGCTCTCAATCTGCATAGCTAATAAAAAGTACACGGGAAAAATGACGGATTTTTTAGCTGGTGACCCTCTGGTCCTCTTTAACGCAGTTTACGTGCACATTTCATCTGAATATACTTAATGCCTTCAACTCTGGAAAAAGACAAATGATAACAATTTATCAGAGTTTAAAGCTATTTCAGTATTTACTATCAAGTCTGTCTTTTCAACTGACAACAGAAAACATTTTGACTTGTCCTATGACCCACACAGCAAACAGGTAGCACATTATGCAAGAAAAAGGAAGTTTTCATGAATTATGGAAACATTTACAAATATGCATTTACTAAAAATGCTGTCAGAATTTCCCATGTGACTCAGAAAAATCAAGTGACAATATTTTTTTATCCCTTAAATGATAAGCTTGGATCCACAATCAACGCCCATGGAAGCAGCAGTCAAGAAATCAAATGATGCATTGCATTGGGCAAATCTGCTGCAAAAGACCTCTCCAAAGTGTTAAAAAGCAAAGATGTCACTTTAAGGACTAAGATGTGCCTGACCTAAGCCATGATATTCTGAATTGCCTCAAATGTATGTAAAAGCTGGACAATAAGTAAGGGAGACAGAAGAAGAATTGATGCCTTTGAATTGTGGTGCTGGTGAAGAATACTGAATATATCATGGACTGTCAGAAGAATGAACAAATCTGTCTCGGAAGAAGTACAGCCAGAATGCTCCTTAGAAGCGAGGATGGCAAGACTTCATCTCACATAGTCTGGACATGTTATCAGGAAGGATCAGTCCTTGGAGAAGGACATCATGCTTGGTAAAGTACAGGGTCAGCAAAAAAGAGGAAGACCCTCAATAAGATGGATTGACACAGTGGCTGCAACAACGGGCTCAAGCACAACAATGATCATGCAGGACGATGCAGGTCTGGGCAGTGTTTTGTTCTGTTGTACACAGGGTCGCTATGAGTCAGAACTGACTTGATGGCACCAAACAACAACAAATGAAGAAATGAGGTAAAAGTTCAAAAAATTAAAATAATTTGGGGTGCTTAATTACACCAACATTTCGTTGTCTGTCTTTATTTGGTGTTCTATTGATTCCTGAATTTTCTCCAGCAACGGCATGCATGAGTCATTGGCCAAAATCCGTGATGACCTTCTTTCTAACACACCCAGCAAAGCTAACTTAGTTTGCCAATCAGTGTCTTCACATATTTTTACCACTTTATTGAAGAAAAATGACAGAATCAGGTAACATTCACTTTCATTTTGTCTCAACCTCTACCCTTTTTATAGCATCTCTACAAAGTGAACAAACACTTTAAGGGAACCAGAGAAACAGGATGATTTAACAAGAACTACCCACCCAGCAAGTAGATGGGTAATGTGTGCGCTATTTATTTATTGTTTCTCAGTTCCATGCCCACCATTTCCCAGGCTCCTCTGCCACTTGGCTCCTTGTTAAGTTTCTACCAAATGGAGTTACAGGTGGAGATCAGATGGTGGGAAAAAAGAAGTAGCCCTTTCCCCCTTACTCTCTCCCTCCTTCTCCTGGCTGTGTCTCTGAAGCAGCTATGTCCCCTCCTTCTAGTCCCTGTATTGGAGACAGTGGTCCTTCTCTATGATTCCAGCTCCAGAGGGGGCAGCTCCTCCTCCATGGTCTCAGCTCTTGAGGTGGTCTCAGCTCTCGTGGTAGTAGCTCCTGAGATGGTGGGTCCTTCTCCAAGGCCTTAAATTCTGGAAGTACCATTTCCTTCTGTTTGTTCCCTCAGCCCTGTGGGGAGTAGCTGTTTCCTTTAGTTCTTAATCTGAGTTAGTATCACCTTTCCATTTTTGCTCTTCCAGTCTTCCAACAAGTATCCAATGAATTCCCTGTATTACATCTCTACTTAAAATACTTCACATGGTTTCTATTTTCGTGACTGGATCCTGATTGACACAGATACTCAGTCCTTGAATAATGAACTGTCTCCAGTTATATGACCACTCACTATTACTATAATCTGCTAATATCAGTAATATGTCTCAAACAATCCAGCTCTTCCCAATTTCCGATTCCATAAGAGAACCGCATTCCATTCCCTTCTTATCTGGGTACAGAAATCAAAACAAATTTGTCTCCAAATAAGAATGATGAAAGAGGATTTTTTTAAAATAAACTTTCAAGTTACTAAATTTCTCTTCGTCACCAATATATAATGTGTTGGTTGAGCTGTTAAATAAAGATCAAGCTTTTTATGCTTTTAAGCTGTCAAGCTGGCAAAAGCTGGATAATCAAACAACGATGGAGGGCAAAATCTTTAAACAAGCAAGAAGAGTTGGCGGAAAAGAACATGGGAAGATCATTTCGCGTAGCATAATTAGTGAACAACACGAACAAAGAGCAGTACGAGGTCTCAGTATGTTCATGCTATGGATGATGTTCTGAGTGAAAGCGGCAAGAAATTCCAGGGACTGGAGCACATGATAAAATCTGGTCGTTTATATCCCATGCTCCTTTCATTGGATACAACTCTTATAGAAGGTTCATTAGGCATAAATTTTCTATTCTCCAAATCCCAAGGAATTGCAGTGACAGGCAGTGACTAAGGGGGGATAGAGGGAAAGAGGGGAAGCAAGACTGCTAAGTCTTAGAGTTTTAAAGTGTAACTTAGGAGGTTGTAGGCAGGTACAGATACTTTATAAGCAACAGCCTAAAAGAAGAGCCACCTCCAAAAAAACAGAATTCATAAGGATATCAAACACAGTATGTCCCTCAAGTACCAGCTTAATGTTTTTGTTGTTAGGGGCTGTCCACTGGATTTTCGACTCACAGCAACCCCATGTGACAGAGTAGAACTGCCCCACTGGGTTTTCTAGGCTGTAATTTTTATGAAGTAGATCACCAGGTCTTTCTCACTCATAGCCTCTCGGTAGATTCGAACCGCCAACCTTTCAGTTAACAGCCAAACACTTAACCACTGCGCCGTCAGGACTCCTTTTTACTAGTTGAATAGACACAGTAAACAGAAACAGTAATACCCAACCTCCTCCCATCCTCCAGCCTCCCAGTCTCAGTTCATTAGCTTCGTAAGGATCAACCCTACATTTTATGTGGTTGAATTTTTTGGTCTCTACTTCTATCCTTACACTGATATTTTACTGCCCTCCCCTGCCTCCCCCTCCCCAGCAAGAAGAACAACTAATCACTAGAACAGTTTTAGCTCTCCTCAAGTCTTCAGGTTTCAAAGAGATAGATGTCTCAATATCAAAGTATATAACCGGATCATAAAGCACAGAATTTTAAAACATAAAAGGAAATAGAAGTCATGCACAGTCAAGTGGCTCTGAGGAAAGTTATGTGGGGCAACAGGCGTATCTTGCCATCCAATCTTCCTCATTCATACATCTCGCTGCTCCAGGGATCTGGTCACATTACTGCCACCATCCCTCTGTGCCCAGGGAGAAACAATTCAACTTCTCCACACAAGGGTAAGCATATAAAAATGGTATCTTTCTATGACACATCATAGCTGAAGAATGTTTTGCAAATTTTAAATAATAGAAGCGTTCAAACCACTTCACTTTAAAATTTAATCACACAAGCATTTTCTGCTCATTTAAAGTGACGTATGCAAAGTGGGAGAAATACAGCTACAGCGATAGCTAGTCACATGTCCCTGTCACTTTGTTTCCGCCATTAATAAAATTCTATCTGTACAACTCACAGAATCACGGCTACCCAGCTGAGAAACAAAAGACATTAAAACCAAGACATTCACATCCTGGTAAAAACGGAAGTCTAGTTTTCAATAACTTTAAAGGAGTTCATGTTTTCTAGGTTGTTCTCTCCACACAGGCCCCTTGACTCTGACCTGACTGGTCTGCTAGGTCGATGTTCAGACAGATCTGCCTCCTAAAGGCAGGCCAAGGACAGGGTATTGGAATCATGTAGGAAATTTTTTTTTTTTTAAAAACAGATTCCCTATGGAGCTTCTGAGTCCCCTAAATTTGGGATGGGAAGGGATGACTTGGAAGCACAAGCCGTACTGGGAACCACAGGTTTTGGTTACCATAAGAACTCAGTGACACCAAGATGCTTCAGGCCTTCAAAATGGGGATAAATAAGCCTTTCTTTAGAACAATTGAGATGCAACCTTACTTATGATGCAAAGCTGCATAAAATCTTGAAAACTCAACTGTATATAAACCCACCGCCGTTGAGTCGATGCCGACTTATAGCGACCCTGTAGGAAAGAGTAGAACTGCCCCCATAGGGTTTCCAAGGCTGTAAATCTTTACGGAAGCAGACTGCCACATCTTTCTCCTGGATAACAGCTGGTAGGTTTGAACCACCGACCTTTCAGTTAGCAGCTGAGCGCTTAACCACTGTGCCACCAAGGCGCCTCAATCAACTATATATAAATCTCTTTAAAAAGTGTGTCACCATACAGATATTCCAGTTTGGCTAAAATGAACAAAAAGATTCCCCCTTAGTAATTTTATCTCCTAAGAC